ATGCCCTGTAACAAAGCTCGTAAAAAAAAAAAAAAAAAGTTGCCAGTGGGCTATGTGCTGGCTAGAAAGGAACAGGGAGACACAGAAAGAAAGCACCCTAGGAGGATGGCCACACAGCAATCTCTTCTCCAATCTCCTCTCAGAATTTTGGGCATACACACACCCAGTGTTTTTCAAATCACAGGGCCTGGGAGGCAAACAGCAGTTGGCCATCACCTCAATGAGCACACCATTAGCTGGCCCTAAGAAAAATTTATGTACCAAAATAAACTCGTATTTTAACCCTATTTTTCTGCAAGCTTTTTAAAGTCCCCTTGTACATTCACTACTAACCATGGTAGTTGCTACTTGGGCACAAGAGTGTCTTATGAAGGACAGTCAAGCTGTCCTTGCCTGGTCTAACAAGGTCTATGTTTTCTTCTTTATAAAAATTTTGAAGAATTATTTTATTTATTTATTCATTCATTTTGTTTTGACCATAGAGAGATACAGAGAGAGAAAGAAGAGGAAAGTGAGAAGCAAGCCACCAGGTCCAGGACTCAAACCACGGTCGGCCATGTGGGAGTGTCCAGTAACTTTACTGCCATACCACTTGCTGGTCCCGATCTACGTATTTTCATAAATAGTTTGAGATGTACGAAGACTATGGGTAGAATTAATTCACATACCGAGAAGTAGGTAAGAGAGCAAAACAGAAGGACAGGCAGAAGCACAGCACAGGACAGTGAGGGCTGCTCTGAGTGCCACTCGCATCATGCGCGTCAGACTGCACAGGCCCTGCCCTGAAATGCGGCTTTCCATTTCCTGCGGGCAGCCCACTGCTATGAACCATGAGAGCTGCCTGGACAGATGTCACCTCTAGAGTCTAAGCTGTAGGATCTAACCCCACCACGGTCAAGGCAGAGCCCAAGACAGCCTACCATGTGTCGGCGAAGTATTGTTTGGCTCTTCATATATTTTAAACAGAATTCACACATGTAGAGACGTCCCAGCCGTGCATATTCTTCAGGATAGGGAGAATGGTACCAAGTATCAAGCTCATAGCGGCCAAAAGCAATTGTTTTAATCATGTTGCTCCCTTCGGTGATCTGGCCTTGTAGTCTTAACTTCTCCTGTATCAAGAAAAAAATCGTAAGTAAAAGCAGGATTAGAATTACTATCTTTGTTTTAAAAAACTTTTAGTAAGTTTGTTAGCATTCCACCATGGAAGGCTATGAAAAAAAACAGACTTAGCTCTAGCATGAAAAACTAATGCTGAAGAGGGGGGTAAATAGGCATAGAAAATCAGGCGAGATAAAAAGGTAAGAAAACTTACTTAATTTAAATTACCTAATGCACAGGTCTGAATACAGACTGGTTCTCTGCTCCCTACCACATTCTAGACTTCATCACGATCAATCTTTGGTCACATTTTTTTGTAAAAAAGCTATTTTTGCTATAGGGTGTGTGCTTTAATGGAGACAGATGGAGAGGGTGAGAAATCACTCCCCTTCCCCCCGGGAAGATGGCCACACTACAAACCTGTCTCCATTCTCTTCTTGGGACTTGGGGCACGCACACACATGCCTGGTATGAGTAGCAAGCCACTGGGTTTGGGACTTGAACTGCGGTCAGTCATGTGGAAGTCCAGTGCCCTAACCACCACACTACTTGGTGGCCAGGTAAATTTGTTTTTAATCAAACTGAATTAAAATGGTAATTTACCTCTGATACAAACACCCCACCCTTACAAATATTCTAAAGTGAAACCAAAAATTTTATGTAGACTACGTCTCAAGGATCTACAGAAGCTTTTATAAAGCTGTGTGAATTTGTGACATATATCCACAGTGGCCATTTTTAAAAATAGTGGAAGCTTTATAAAACATTTTCGAAATGTGGATGATGAGCCTAGAGCATCAAAACTAGGAGTGAACTACTTTTAAATATTAAAAAAAAAAAAAGAAAGCCATATTAATACAGAAAACCTGGCTGAGTCAAAGGCTTATTTTAAACTATCTGAAAACAGCCTTTACTCTTACACTTATTTCCATTCTTTTATGATAACTGAAGTGCAGTAATGGAGTTTCTGTTGGGGTTAAGATGAGCGAGACCATAACTTCTATGAAGGCGTCTGGAACTGGAAAGTCACCCACCTGAGACAAAGGAAGGCCTACTGTTTTATCCAGCTTCACTACCTCAAGCCAAACTGGTATTTCCAGGAGTTGAAGTATAAAGGATGAAAAAGTTTTAAGAATAAGGGGTAGGGAGGAGGGGTGATTAAATATGAATGGAAAGGACAGTCTCAAAACAAAAAAAAGGAAGCTGGGGGAGGGGGAAGAGATTTAAGAGGCAAGGTACATTTAATTCCCCTCAAAGTGATTGCTAATCATTTTTCTTGGCAGTTCCAAGTGCCTTTCATAGTAGTTCTCAGCCTGAAGGTTCGTTCTAAAACTTACCAGATCCTCTGAAGCCCGAGCTTGTGCTCTTCGGAAAAGATCCAAGTCGTACTCGCTAGTCAGGTTTTCCAAGAGC